TTCCCTCTCCTCTCCCCCCTCCGTCAATTTCCTCTATTCTCCTCCCACCTCTTCTTCCACTCCTCTCCTTTTCGTCCTCTCCCCTCTCCTGTCTTTGTCTCCTCCCTCCCCCAATCTCTCCTCCCTGTCCTCTGCTACATACCCCTTCTTTTCCCATCCCCCCCCATCCCTCTCTTCCCTCTCCTCCCTTCCCTTTCATCTCATCTCTCCCCCCTCCCTTTCTCCTTCTTTCCTCCTCCATCCCCATTTCCTCTCCTCTCTACACGCTCCATCCCTCTTCTCTCCTACACTTCTTTTTTCCGTATCTCCCCCCCCCTTCCCTCTGTACAACCGTTCATCCTGCTGTCTCCTTGTACTTGTCTGTTTTCAAACTCCTCCCCCCCTCTCTCTCTCTCTCTCTCTCTCTCTCTCTCTGTGTGTCTCTCTCTCTCTCCCTCTCTCTCTTCGTGGGAGGAAGTTTTTCTAGTAGCCAACCAGTGCGAAGGTGTGCGCCGTATGCAGAGTTGGCAGTAAGGCGAGGCAAATTTTTACTAGTAACTTAAAGGGGCCGTATAGGGGGCTCTCGTGGCCTAGAGTGGTATTCGCCTCTCATTCAAAGGTACCGGGTTCGAATCCGGGTAGCGACGGAACAATTTTCTTTTCTAAAATTGTCTCCTTTCACCTGTTTCCTGCTCTCTAACAATGTTTTTTCGTTTGCTTTCGTCTCCATCTGCCTCCACCCCCTCACCTCCTTTGCCCCCTCCTCTGGGCTTCTGACTCCTTCTGCAGCCTTTCTATTGCTACTTAAATTCTTGGCTTCTTCTTACTGCTGTCTTTCAGCCACGCCCCTGATCTTCTGGTAGGAAAGATCTACACCTAGCCTTCTCGGAAAAGGGCGAAAAATCTCCAAGGTGCCGTGTGCAAGTTGCGCACGTTAAAGATCCCTCGTCGTTGGTCTAAAATCGGTAAGAGTAGGCTTCGGCCGCTATCCGTGCCAAATTCAAAATTTCCTATCAACTGAAAACGTTTTATGTGTCCTGCGCGCTCATTATATGACCTTATGAAGTTGTGAGCGCCGTAAATTTAACACTTACAAAAAAACACCCAAAAAAAGTGGACCGTACAACTCAGACAGCCGGCCTGGAAGATTCTATGCATGCAGTGTGAAGGAATAACTATGTTGATATAGGCGCTCCTTTTCGTACATTGGCAAAACCTGGCTGTAATTTAGAGCTGGCGGTATAATGTCAACGTGGTGGTGGTGGTGGTGGAGGGGGGG